GGGCCGGGATCCCCGCGGAGATGATCGCCGTCATCCGCAAGTTCCACGTCGGAATGCGGGCCTGCGTCCGCATGGACGATGGGGAGCTATCGGACTGGTTCCCGGTCACGCAGGGACTGCGACAAGGGTGCTCAATGTCCCCACTGCTGTTCAACGTCTTCTTCGCCGCGCCTCTCGAGGTCATTGTCACACGGTTCAGCAAGGATGAGGTTATCATGCGGGACCTAGTATACCTGAAGGAGGAGGAAGGGGGGGGGAGGACATTGCTGGACCGAGTTCGGAGGGCGGTGTGGGGAATGCTATATGCCGACGATGCCGGCATTGTGTCGAAGTCCGCCGACGGCCTGGCGAGGATGATGACCATTATCGTGGAGGTGTTCCGGGAGTTCGGGCTGACGGTGTCGGAGAGGAAGACGGAGACATTGGTGATGCGGGTGAAGGAGAAACAGCGACCGCCGCCGACGCCACCGCCGCCGCTGACCATCGAAGCAGCGGGGCAAAGGTACGCACAGACGACCGAGTTCCGATACCTGGGCGGCCTCATCAACGAGCAGGGCGACCTCACCCGAGAGATCAACCACAGGAGCAAAGCAGCGTGGGCGTGCATTAGGCGATACGCCACGGAGCTCTTCGACCGACCGGGAGCACCGTTTCGCCTCAAGGCCCGCCTACTCCAGGCGGAGGCAGTGGCGGCACTGCTATACGGCTGCATGACATGGTCCCCACGCCGCGACCACTACCGGCTGCTGCAGACGACACACCACCGTCTGCTTCTGCGAGTTATCGGCTACCGGCGCAAACGAGGCACCTACCGGCAGCTGTCATACGCCCAGGCGCTGAAGAGGGTCGGCTGCCAGAGCGTGGAGGCCACTGTCCGTCAACGGCGCCTGCTCTTTGCGGGGGCCGTGGCAAGACAGCCAGACGGGCGGCTTCCGAAACGGCTGATGTTCGGCGAGTTGGTGGGAGGGGAGAACCCGGGCCGGGGAAGCCCGGAGCAGAACTGGCTGATATGCCTGAAGGACGACCTGAAGATGTTCGAAGCCAGACACGGCTCCACGCCCGACAAGCGGAGCTTCTTCGGAATCCCGAAGCCAGACTGGGACGAGGCGGCGAAGGTGGAGGGGGGGGTACCGTGGCACGCGGGGGTGCTACAGGGAGCTGAGAGGTTTATGGCCTCTTGGCACAAGGGCGAGGAGAAGGCCAGCCGACAACGAGCCATCAAACGAGGAGACAGCGGGCCCAAAAATAGTCTAGATACGGCACCAATCAACGGGGCGGGAGGGGGGCGGGAGGAAACGGCGCGGGAAGAAAGCAAGCGAGAAGAGACCGACCGCGTGACGTGACATGTTGCGGTTGAATTTCAGCGACTAGTTTTTCTGTTGCCCTCTCCCCCGTTTGCTGTCGCGTTCAGACTGTCTCTACGGATATCCCTGTCTCTGTGCGAGTTTGTTTATGTCCTCGTCTGTCTTTGGTTAATTTCGTTTTTGTTTTGTTTTTTTACTGGCACGTACTGTTGACCCTTGGGGTCCTTCCGGAAGGCTACCCCCCAGGCTGGTGGTGCGCACGTTCCACTATTTATTTATTTATTTGTTTCTGATTCTTTTGTTTTCTTGTATATTATCGCTCTGCTAACCCTTGGGGTCCATTTTATTTTGGTATACCTTTTCTAGGTACGTTAGCCTGTGACCACAGAAATTGACCGAGTCAAGTGCTGGATTAGTACGGAGAGATTGAGACAGAAGGAGGTACTGGATAGGGAGACCGGGATAGTTTTTAATGTGAAGACAACAACAACAACAACAACAACCGGACCACACATTTTCCAATTTGCGGAGTAATCTCACGTGGTACGAATGCGAGCACAAACACAACTCTGGTGCGTATGTAACGTGTTGTGAAAGGCAGCAACATCATCATTTAGCAACCAGACAAATCTGTGTCGCTGTGTATAATAGCACCAAGAGGGAATGTGAATTGAGGTCTACGAGGTCTACCCACATCACCGCAGACCCTCCGAGCGGATCATCGGCCAATGCCGGTGGTGGCAGTTCAGTCACCCCAGCCACCAGAATGCGCGCACCAAATGCGCGGGCGAGGTAAAGGTAGTTGTTGGCGCGGGAGGCGGTGATGATGCAGTCATGCCCGTGATCAGCGCTTATCTCTACCAAGAAAGGGGAGCTGCATGAAGTGTGACCGGACGTCGGGAACGCAGTCGATGACATCAACGTGCCGGTAATCTTTGTGGGGAAAGGGGGCCGCAAGCAACCGTACATGAGTGCATGTCGAGGCGTCCAGTCGAAAGGGGACAAACACAATTTTTTCTGAATGTTTTGTAGCCGACTCCGAGTGCCGCCGAAAGCGGAAGATGATCCCCTGCAAAGGAGGCCACCGCAGCAACGTCAAGTCGTACCTCAAGAATGCCCACGGACTGCAGGGGATGGGTGTGGCGTCGTGAAGGAGGGAAAGAGAAAGGCAGTGCAACAGAGCATTGCGGATGAAGACGAGCGGGTATGTATACCAGGGTATTCTCTCGTGTACGCACGCGCACTATTATACCCGTTTCTCTGTGAGTTCTGCACGAACGACAAGCTTACTTCATACCTGCAATTGTTCTGCGACACTTCCGATACCCTACAGGACGTTACAGACGAGTTATATGGCACTCCAAAACCATACATAAAACGTATGTGAGTTATGTGACACTCAGTACCCTACAGAAAACGTCTGCAAGCATATGTGAACCTACGCGAAACGTTCTGTGGGTTCTGTACGGCCTTCTCACAAACCATATTTTTTCTGTTGAGTTCTGTGGCCCTTCCGGCGCCCTGCGGGATATTTCTTTGAGTTCTGTGGCACTTCTCATATCCTATAGACAACTTCTGTGAGTCTGCGACACTCCAATATCCCTACAGAAAACTTCTGTAATCATTTGTGAACCTACCCCAACAGTTCGGTGGGTTCTGTATGGCTTTCTCACAAACTCTTTTTTTGCTGTGGAGTTCTGTAACACTTCCGATACCTAACCGATAGTTCCGTGAGTTCTGTGACGATTCCCGATACCCTACAGAAACTTAAGACCCTACAGAACATACCCTTGGAAGTGCTATATTTCAGCTCCAGCAGCAAACCTGAACGTATCAGCACGCACGATGCCTCTTGATGGTGTCCTCTACTGATGACAATAGAACGCGACACCTGGCGGGAAGGTTTTTTTCTTTCTTGTATAGGATGAAGGCCCAATTATGCCCAATGATCCCCCTTTTCCTCCACCTCCGGCACATATAGGTGCCTGATTGGTCGTGATACAGCTATTAGGATCTATCTACTTCTTTTTCCTGCTTGTTCTGCTCCAGGAACAGGTTGTTCTGCTCGAGCATTGCTTGTTCTGCTCGCAAGCAGGTGTTGAAGTTGGTTCTGCTCATGCCTATATCCAGTACTACATGGCCAAATCTGCCCGGGCCTACTTGCGGGAGTATAGATCTCACCGGACGCCCTGCTGCACTCTGCAGGCTGTGCGCTGAAGCTGTGCACTGCTGTGCACAGCAGTGCAACAGACGAAGCTTTTGCTGGGATTTCGATGAAGAAACAAAAAACTGCGTGAGCTCTCGTCGGAACAACTCTGTAGACTACACCCTCTTGCAGCATGTGCTTCCCGCGGATGTGAACAAAGACAGGAAGGAACGCACCGAATGACGGGGTTAGCAGACATCACAGAGCGATTGGCCGTAATTGGAAAAAACGTTGCAGCTACCTCGACGCTCTTTGGAGATAAAGCACCGGAGTCCGCACAGCAGCATGCCTTACACAGGCAACAGCAAGCATGCATTCCAGGCCGACAGCGGACAGCGGTGCATAGTGCGAAGTGCACAAACCCGGGACCCACTCACCCCGATGAAACTAAGAAAATGCGTCACGCTGGCGAGGTGGTACCTAGCCGACAGCAGTATCCATCGCTCTCGTTTCGGACGTCACCACTCAACGACCCTGAACCAAGACTGCGGTATACCTCCGTCGTTGTGCCCCTCACCGCATCTAGCCAGAGAGCCAGCGTCCTGGTAGGTGTGCGGTGTGCGGAGGAACCATGCCACGTGCGAGCTCCCTCAGAGGCGTCGTTGTGTCGTTTTTCCTTACCTGCTGCCCCTCTCAGCTCTTTACCCTCAGAGGCACCCCTTTCCTCGCTGGAAATGCGCGCGTGCGTGTGACGGCAGATAGAAGGGTGGACGGGCAGCTCGCCCAGCGTGGTTTTTGAGGTTGTTCCTGTTGCTCGGTTGAAGTTTAAGCTGTGGCTGCTGATGAAGCCCTCGCGGTTTGTTCCAAGACCAGAATATTCTGGAATCCCCCCGCATTTTTCGTATCGACCCCGTGACCCAGCCTGCCTTCCTGCTTCAGCTGTGCTGTGCATGGTGGCAGTAAGGGCGTACAGAGAGCTTCAGGAACCTCAGTTTCCTTCGTAGTATGCATGGTGGACCGAATGGTGCAGCTGGGGTGTGTGCGTGGTCAATGAGCGACACAGAGCAGTAGAATGTGTGCAACATGATACTTTGTAATATTTGGGGTGTGTCGTGCAGCAGACCGCAGTTTACGCAGATACTTATGCATACGGAGATCAGTCTCGCCAAGATGGCATTTTTATGTGTGCATAGTTTAGAAACCGTCGATTGACCGCTTTCCGCGACGTGGGACAACGTTCAACTGTGCGAAGTTCGAAATTTCAAGAGGTTGGAATACATGTAGTCTAGCGTTCGAGGGAGAGAAGGGATTTGCGCGGCTCGACAGAAACTTGTCTCGCGCAAGGTTCCACCGCCGTTCCACTCCAAGAGCTGGAATAGTTGGAACAGCAGTGCACGTTTACACTACATAAGCAGACGTCAAAAGGATGCTGGGGTGGGCAGAAGCAACAGGGCCCTAGAGGCGTAGGTCGCACGAAGGCACCGCCGCCATCTCGTGCTCGTAGCTTTCGCGAGCTGCGATAAGTCGGTCGGGATAAAAAAATCACGGTCAAGATTCTTATGCTGCGAAGTAGGTTCTTTTGTTTCTGCAGCAGAAATCAATGCTATTCGGAATGGAATTCGACATCTCCAACATCGGGAACGTTTGTCCAAAAGGATGGCCAAATGGTGCACCACGTGCCGCCACCTTCCTACCCACCTCGCTAGCGCGAGACTCGCTGTCCAACCCCCGTCCACCCACCCCGATTGCGTCGCCCATGCCTTACAGCAACGATCAGGCGTGATAACCACGACCCTCCAGGGATGCGCTTCGCACTGATGGTGACAATGACAATGGGGGTGGCGCCCCAATGTTGAATAAACTGTATTGCTCACAACGCTAACAACGGACAGACACACCTGTTGCTGAACCAAACCAATTCCACCTGCAAACGCTTCTCCGCCCCAACCCTAGCCGGCACGCCGCCTCGCGCCCCGTCACCGCCAGCACAATGAAACACAAGAAGCGGCTCTATGGTTCACTCCTCTACAGCGGAATCGCAATCACGCCAATTCCGTTCTCGCTCGGAAACCGCTCCCACGACGACAATTACCAATCCCCAGCCAATGGTGGCATCACCCGCGGCGCCCTTGACCCGTAGCGCTCCGCCGCTGCCGCCACCGCGGCCCCCATCGCTCCTGCCCCCAGCGCCGTTTGCCCCTCCCCGCCTCCCGCGAGCGCCAAGAGCGCGCCCACCAGCAGAGCGAGCACTGCCGCTATTCCGGCCCCCTGGGGGGAGTTGTCGAACCTACCCTCGCCGGAAGCGACCGCGGCGGGGGGCGCGGTGGCGGCGGCGGCGGCGGCGGCGGCTCCGGCAATGGAGGCAGTTGCCGTCGAGGCCGCAGCAGCAGCAGCAGCTTCGGCGCGTGCTGCTCTCGACCTTTCCCAGGAGAGCAGAACCGTGCGGTACACGGAGGTGAGGTGGAGCAGCAGGAAGACCACGACCACCAGATCGTCGAGGAGGCCCGCGATTCCGACCAGGCTCTCGGGGATCACGTCGATCTGGAAGGTTTGCGACAGATTTACAGAGGCATGGGCGGACGGGGGTGGGCGAACGTGAGGCGACGAAGTCGGGGTACCGAAAACGTGCCCAGTGAGTGGAACAAAAAACTTTTGTGCCAACGCACGTACTGTCGCGACTGCTGTACATAAGTTTTATTGTGCAGGCCCTTCCTTAACCGTGCGTGCCCAGCCGGCGTCCGAACGCCTTTGCAGGTTTAGGTTTCCGGGCCGTTACATGCCAGCCAACAAGCGTCCCTTCACCGCGAGAGAAAGACACCCACTCACCGGGCTCAGAATGTACAAGGCGGCCACGAAGAGCTGCAGCTGCACCCCTCTCCGCATCAACTCGCCGAACACCCGAGTGTCCCCCCGGCTGAGGTCCGACCACAACCGCCGGAGCAGCAGCGGGGCGTCCTCGATGACCTGCCACGGCGACCTCCACCGTCCCGAGTTGCGGTCGTTGAACCTGGATATCTCCTCCTGAATCTCCGGGGAGCCTGTCGTTGCTGCCGGTGCTGATTCGGCTCTTGCGTCGTGGGCTTGATCGGTGTCGCCAGCGGCCTGTGCGTCTCCTGCCGCTCCGTGCAGCATGGTAACCTGAAGCGGGCCCAGCATCGATCGAGACAAGAGAAGGCCGCTGTTTGTGATTCTTGCGGCCTGGGACAGCGCTGGTGCGTGGATTTCAGCGTGTGCCTGCGAGCACGCCAGAGAAGGAGGCGCGCCGATGTATTTCGACGTTCGGTGGTTGACACCCCACCAAATCGTCCCCAGTAAATAATGCTGATCGCAAGGGCCTTCGTTCGGTTCGGCCGAACCTGAGCATCATTCCGAGACTCACCTCCTGCCTGCACATTGGACACCGAATGCGCACCCTGCCGCCTTGATCGTAGTAGCTCAAAATACACCTGGGCCAATAGTCCACCGCAGGTTGGTAGAAGGGCACAGGGCGCAGTTACATGGAGAGCCAACGACCCTGGAAAAACTTTCGGCCGTACGTGATACCAAGTACATAGTTTCTTGCTTGAATTGGGCCCTACGCTATTCAACCCGTAGAAAGCGAATCAGCCTCGCACTATCCTAATAGTAGCGCATAGGCGTAGACTGTACGTCCTGCGCGCACAAACGCCTTGGTACATATGCAATCGCGGAGCTACCAGCGCGTACCGCATGGCTGCTCTCCGAAGCCCCCAGCCTAGGAGATTAAAGACGAGATTGAGGACATCGGGACTCGGTGGTTTGATCTCACATTGCTGTAGGTTGGTCCCTTTCGGGGCATTTTCGATTTTGTTCGTCGGTTCCGACGTTCACAGGCCTTTCCTCACCTGGCGCAGAACCAATGCCCGCAGTTCGTTTGTACAGGGGTTTCCACCTCGATCGAGAGGCATATCGGGCACTCCCCGCCCGGATGTCTTGCGAGCCTGCCGGGGGTTGTGTCGTTGTTGGACCCATCTATTCCTGTGGCGGCGCCTTCTTCGTCCTGTGTGCGACGCGACCACGAAGGTTCAATCAACAAAAAAAACACACGGCGCTCTTCCATCTCGTTGAGAAACATGACCGCCGTCCGAACTTCCCCTTCCTCGGTAGCCTGGCGATCGAAGGTTGTGTAGGTCTACTGTGACGACTGAATGTTTTATTTGCTCTCGCTGAACTGCTGCAGCTCTCGCGGCACGAGGCCCCAAATTCGGTTAGTTTCAAACGAATCCCCGCGAACGAATGAACTCAAGGTGATCGGAGCCCGCCTCCCCGACACTTCCCCATGTGTGAGTCGCGTTGTTAGGACTCGTACATACGTAACTTGTTGATATTCGAGTTGACAGTCTACAGCAAGTAGTGAGAACACCACGGCATTGACTACTGTACGGTCATGGTATGCTGCTTCTCTTCGTGACCAACACGTCCCCTCAAAACTTGCCGGGTTGGATGCCTCTGTTATTACTTCAAGGAGTATATTGTAGGAACAATTGTGCAGGGGCGGGTTGTCCGATACTTTCCCTCACAAAGGGGATTATCCGTGTTCCGGATGGCGACGTTTAAACCCGCTGCACTTTACAAGCGCTCTTTCGCGAGGGGTCAAGGAACCTCCTGCCTCCAACCTAGGCAAGGAGCAGTGAGTGTACAGCAGTAGAGCATTCTGTCAGTCTGAGTTTGGGTAAAGGTCGTCGATGCATTGCTTGAGGACAACAAGGGGCGCCTCATTGATGCAGGACGCACTAGGTTTTGGACACGGCTTGTGTGTGACAAACCTCAACGAGTGCTGTTCGAAACGGCGATGTAGAAGTCAGTGCAACTATACCGTCTGGTAGACTAGGTACACTCCGCTTACGCAAACGCGGTGGAACTTCACGTACACTGGTAACATTTCAAACTGAGTACTGGCTCATGGTACCTCGTCATTTGAAGTCAGTTTTCTGCTTATGTAGACCACGAGCGAGGTGACAGCCACGATACCGATCGACACCAGCAGGATAACATCAAGCGGCAGTCCTTCCATCACGAAAAGGTAGAGGACGAGACACAGCAGTGGCGGTGCAGCACACCCAGCACATGCCACGCGTACAAATCAGAAATAGCGGCGAGCAGCAGCTGGAAAGAGGAGAGCAGGGGACAGGGGGCGGCCGCTCATCTCCGCAGAATCATTCTGAACATCCCCCCTTGATCGATGCGCAGAACCTCCTCTCTTGGCCCCCCAACCAACACGACACACGGACCGGGACAAAAGGACGCACGGAAGAGCAACAGCAAGTCGCTCAGCTGCACGAGGAAGTGCTGAGAGAGCAGGTCAAAAATTGTGAGAGAATCATGGCGGACTACTACTACGAGGCAAGGAAGCATGATAAATGGCTTCGGAAGCACGCCAAGGAAAACAAGGTAAGAACAGATCCTGTGCGTTACCGCTGTCTTTTTGATGCTAGCTGGCCTCATGTCCTACCCACGTCCACCGCCCTAGAGGCTGCATTTGCACCTGCTCCAGATTGAAACGCAGCCACACCACGAACACAAGCAGCCGACGCATGCAAGCTGTGCTGATTCTGCGCATTTCTGCTCTTTTGTGTGGCGGCCCAACCTCGACACAGAGACCAGCCTGTATCTACAATCGGAAATTTTGAAATCATTTTCTTACCATTTCCTCGGATCATCACACCCTCCCGGGTAGCTGCAGTGGATCCTGGAGACGCCGCGAAAAAACAATCCCTTTCAAGCAAATGTCACCAGATGACAACGCGCCTACCCTCCTCGAGGTACGGGGGAGGGGGGGGGGAAGTGTGATGTTTCTTTCTCCTACGCAACGGTGCATCAGTTGCGTATGCATGGCACGATCATCTCTATCCAGGCCTCTTCCATCCTCCTCCCGTCGCCTGCACGACCCCTTCACGCGCAACCTCGACCCTCTCTGGTACCCGCAAAGCTATCTGAGGCCTGAGTGCTGTTGTTTATCAGCTATCCAACCGTCATCGTGGCCAATCCGCACTGCTGCTTTTTTTTTTCACTGTCCACGTTCGCCGCTACGGTCGTGCATTGCCGCCGCCGCCGCCGCAGGCGCGCAAGGAACGAATGAAGCAATTTCAACGGGCTCACAGCCGCGACCATCACCAGTCGCTCATCATCGAGGGGAGGCCCTGCAAGGTGAGAGAGAGAGGCCGTTGCCTCCATTGACGCCCCTCTGCTCGCACCGCATTATGTATGTTGTTGTTGGGTCTACGTGCATAGCGCTGCGAGCTACTATGCGGGGGGCGCCATCTCCACAGCAGTGACATTTGTCTTTGGGTCCCCATGTACATGCATAGCCGATAAAAGCTACCACCATGCGGGAGGGTCCACAGAGACTTGGCATGGCCGGGTGGGCCGCCGAGCTCAAACCTGCGGTGCTTTCTCAGAAACTTGTTCTGCTGCATCGTCTACGCGAGTACTGCTGTACCGTCGTGTGTTGTTTCGACCACATCAGCAGTAGCAACCATCCTTTGGCGCTACTGCTGTACACCCGGTGTAGTCACCGCGTTGGTGCTTCGGTTGTGGTTTGTTCCGTCCCTTCTCAATTTTCGCTACACCCAAGTCTACCCGCCGTGTTGTTGGTTCGTGTTGTGCATTATACCATTTTTTGAGCAGCTCTACAGAGACCCGGCGGCAGGAGCGGTGGTAGAAGGCGCCCTCATGCCCTGGAACGGCCGGCGCGATGTCCTGATCGACAGGTTCGACGCCCGAGCCGTGCTGGACATGGTCCCGCTGTCGCCGAAGGTGACTGGTGGCGTGTGTTGTGCTCGTCTCGCTGCTGGTGCTGCCGCCGCTTTCTCTGCGGTTGGCGAGCACATGCATGCGGACTCGAGTTATTCCCGATTCCTCCTCCCTCGGCTCTGCGCAGACCTTCAGCCTGCCTACGAGCAACAACAATTAGGTTAGACTNACTTGCCCCCCCCCCCCCCAAAACTATCGGTTTGGGGACCCGCACACCCGCTATTTTTTCTCCTACTAACGTCTTCGCTACCCTACAGAACGGGCCCGGACATACGAAACGTCAACATCGGCCGGAGGCTCAGTTTCATATTTCGTAGCCACTGCTACCTCGAGCGCAGATTTTTATTCAGAGTGAAGTGACAAGGATCCACCGCCGAGGTGTGTGTTTCTTAGCCCGATTTTATTGTTTCGTGGAAATTCGAACCTCTGTTTCTTACCACAATATTGCCTAACTGCGGGCTCGTTCTGTAACACAGTACCGCCGCCGGCGAGGCGGCATGCCGTAATTATCTCTCCGTCTTTGAAGAAGAATGTAGTTGAGAAAAACTGTTAAAAAGTTCACGAAAATTAGAAAAAGTGACTACGAAACACGCCTCGGCCGTGGACCTACACTTGACCGGATTCAGTGACCTGTGCTCGACGGTGGCGACGAAGTAAAGCATTGAGCCTCGACTCCGAATGGGCGCTACTTATTGGCCGGCCGCAACGGTACGGCTGTCGATCGTTATCCACCCCCACCCCGCCACGCCTCTCGCTGCCGCGTGCGATTCTTTTCGTTCTTTTTTTGTCCCTCGGCGAAAGGATACTGGAGACCACCGCGAGAAGAAAGGTCTCGAGACCTTCCTTAGCTTCGAGCGGTACCGCGGGATCGTGGACGCCCAGCGGGTGGGCTTGGGCGAGAAGGAGCACGCGCTTGCCGTATCGAAGCAGGTGTGTTTCGCTCTGTCTGGGTATATGTGTGTGTGTGTGCTAAATTTGAACCAACCGCGCTAACCGGCTGATCAATGAGAACGATCAGACGCCAGTCTTGTAGCGGGATAAACAAGACGAGCACTTCTTAATCAAAGCGTACAGGAAGGGTGCTCCCGACGGGGGGGGCGCGAGGGTTGGAAGACAGTTTCCTGCTTGTTTGTGTTTGTGGGTAGACACGACACGAAAGCCCAACTCTCGAAAAATTAATGGCGTCTTGGCGTTTTTGTTTGTTTGTTGGCGGCGAGAGCAGGTGGAGGAGAAGCTATCGGACATCGCGAGGTTTAAGAAGGGCGAGCCAGACGCGGCGGAACTCGCGGCGGCCAAGGAGGCCCAGGACAAGCGCAACAAGAAGGTGGGAGAACTTTCTAGCTCATTCCCGTCCGTAAGATACGTTACGCCCGATATGTTTCTCACTATGTACTCGGATCATCCTTCTTTTTTTCGTGTTTTTTTGTGTTTTCACAACCCACGACCGTGTGCTGCCAGTCTAGTCCAGTCCGCATTCAGAAGACTAGAGAAGCGAAAAACTTTGCCGTTTCCTTCCCGGCGGCGTCTCCGTTAGCTCCCCCGCCTGCAGCAACTGTTCCCCCACCATCGTTCGCCGTCGAAACCAATAGGCTGAAACCAAGGCCGCCATCAAGGAGGCCAAGAACGCCGGGGTGCACGGGCACTACGGCCCCGGGGGGGGGGGGGG